TGTATACTTATTATGTACGTTTTTGTGTAATTAATACATTTAGGGGGTCCGATACTTTTGTCCAGGTACTGTATATTAAACTTAGTTTTAGTCTGGGTCAAATCATATAACAAACAGGAATTTTGTTACTGATCTATCTATGATCCTGTTGAATATAAAAAGCAATATTAATATAAAAAATCAGTGTAACAATAAAAACTGGAATTTTAATAAAATATACAATTACTGGATAATAACTTGAAAATAAAATACAACATTAGATTGATGCCAAGTAATTTGATAACATTTATTGAAAATGATAATAAAAGTTGGAACATGATTTCTGCTCAAAGTTCCTTGATTTCTGCCTGATGGTAAAATTATTTATATAAAATGAAAATTGATATCTGATTTTAATCCAAATATTGATTCAACTTATCACCCAATAAATGGTGTAATAGAAATAGCAAGCAAAGAAATGGTTCAACTTATCCACCAATAAATGTAGTATGGTGCGAATCATCTAAAGACATCACGTGCTGCGCCACTTGCCGAAAATTTTTATGCTGATCTTGCTTTATAAAGAATCCAATAAATCCAAATTTGTAAAAGATCTGTGACTTTGTCACGTGAATAATTGGTAAAATTGTGAAAATAATCTGTAAATTGCAGTTTAGATATATAGTTGCCGAAATTTCAAATAAAATAGCAAAGTTACCCAACTTTAAACCATTATAACTTTTTTTTTTAATTAAATAACTCAAAAAAAACTTTCTATTACATTAATTTTCATGTCTAGAATATTGCAAAAATAGAGAGTTTTTGGTAAAATAGCCCATATTTAACAAAGTATCAGCACTTAAAGATTGGCAACATTTGATGATGTCTTTAGATGATTGCCACTATAATAGAAATACCATTCACTATATCAAATAATGATCAGAATATTTTAAGATCGGCTTGATTGTTCAAGTATTAGCTATTATATTATTAATATTAATATTAATATTATCTTCCGCTGATCAACCATTGATGGGAATTTACGGGGAATTGTTAATTTAATAAAAATGTTGTTATTATTAATCAATCAAAAAATTATTTGATAAATCAACAAATCTTTATTTTAATGTTAAATTCATCAGATGCAGTGAATGGCATTTTGAGATTTGACATAGAGAGAACAAATTTATTTAATAGTTAGATTCAGAAAGTAGAATGGAACTTATTAAAATAACACTGGATGGATCATTACCGATTTTATTTAACGTGATTAACACAAATAAAAGATTGAATGCTCATCGTGTCACTATTACTTGCCAAAACTCGTAATTTTCTTTGCTGATTTTTGAAATCATTTCCATACTTCAACCAGATCTGTAATTTTTTCTTATTCTGGTGTATTAGAGTCATACAGCAAAGGTTTAATTTCTTATAACTTGCAGAGAAGAGAAGAGAAGAGAAGAGAGGGAGGAGGGAGCGTAGTTCATTTATATAGGTGATTTTTTTATAAGTTTGTGATCTGTGAGAACCTGTTTACTTTTTTCCATAGCCACAAATTAATTTTAAAATTTGAATAAATAATTAACATGTATTAGAATGTCAGAAATTTCACATGTATTTTTTTGTGTACTGGTACGCTCATCAAAAATCTCAAGAATCATCGGATAAGAAAAACCAAAATTACAAAAATTTTTTTAATGATTTTAATTGGCCGGAAATTACTTAACAACTAACTTTTAAACCAATTGTTGTGAAAATTGACAATAAAACATGTTTTTGCATTGGTTTTGAATGATAAGTTCAACAATTTTAAGTTCTAACCAACAAATGCACCTCAATTTGAGATCTACATTTATCTGTTGATTCTTGATTCAGGCGCATGAGATCATGGCTGTGAACTATTATCTGATCAATCAACATGTTTGTTATGAAATCATTGGTGAACATTCAATGTGTTCTAAATTGTTAAGAACATGTATGCAACTACGTGTTTATTTTTACACCATACATCTTTCTTTTTTTTTATGCTACATGGATATGTTTATTGTCATGTCCATCCATGCTGCAATGTGTTCCTACACCCACCATTGATTGTTGTTGCTGTCAATCGACATGTTCGAAATTGTTAAGAACATGTACGTGTTTATTTTTACACCATATGTCTCTCCTTTTTTTTTCGCATGTGGACGCGTTTATTGTCATGTCATCCATGCTGCAATGTTAACATGTGTTCCTACATGTGTTCCTACACCCATCATTGATTGTTGTTTGCTGTCAATTACGTGTTCGAAATTGTTAAGAACACATACCTATGCACTACGTGTTTATTTTCACACCTTATGTTTTTCTTTTTTTTTTCACATGCGGACACATTTATTGTCATGTCTACATTAACATATGTTTCTTGTGCTGCCATTCATTGAATTACTGATTTTTATGATTTGGCTAGTGAAGAAAAATCAATGTTTGTTCTTGGATGAAAAAAATTTGTATAAAAAAGTTAAGTGAATGAGCT